TGTGTGTGTGTGTGTGTGTGTGTGTGTGTGTGTGTGTGTGTAGGACAAACACGGTCCGTCCTTATTTGAGATAATACCATTGTTGCCTTTCCACGTAAAAACAGCAGGCTAGCCGGCCCACAAGCCTCCTATTACAAACCCTCATGCTGTGTGTCTGGCTTTTATACCAGTTCTGGAAACTCGAACCCAGATCCTTATGATTGCTTGGCAAGCACTTTTACCCACTGAGCAATCCCCCCACCCCACCCCCACACACACACACACCCGGCCAGGCCTTTATTATTTCCTACTCTAATTGCTATTAATGGAGCAGTTCGTTGCGCTAAGTAACATTAGTGAAGCGGCATATACTTCCCTTTTCGTGGGCACATATTCATTTTACGTAGCGACTGCTTCATAAAGACATTTTCATGCAAGTACAACAAGTACTTTGACATGCTGCTCACTCTCTTACCCTCCTCTCCTGCTCTTCTCGCTCACACCCCAGTCTCCCCTCTGCTGACACGTCCTGTATACATGCAGAACTTCATGCATCTCCGCAAAAGATGGAATTTGAAAATGAGGGAAACATGCAACATCTGTCTATTGGAGTCCGATTGGTTTTGCTTAATATAGTGATCTCCACCCTTTTTCCTAAAGAACAATATGGTTCATTCTTTTTACGGCTGGATGAAACTCCATTGTGTATATGTTCTACGTTTTCTTCATCCATTTGTCTGTCCATGGATACCTAGGCAGGTTCCATAACTTAGCTATTATGAATACAGCGGAAAACACAGCCGTGTAAGCACCTCTGTGGTGTCCACACAGACCCAGGAGGGGTAGGACTTGGTCACATGGTAGCTATATTTTTGTTTTCTGAGGAGTCTTCACATTAATTTGCACCATGGGGAGGGATGTGCGCCAATTCTATTTCCGCCAGCAGTCGTGAGCACCCCCTTCTCCCACCTCTCCCGCCTCTGCCTCTCCCGCCAGCGGTGCCTGAACACCACCCTTCTCCTGACTCCTCTCCAGCATTTGCTGTTACTCGTTCTCTTAGTGACTGGCGTCCCGACTGGGGGAGATGGATCTCTCTGCTCTGCTTTAGGTGGTTTTCCCTAGTGGCTAAGAAGAGTGAACACTTTTCATATCATGGCTGGCCACTTCCACTTTGAGAACTGTCTGTTCATTTCTAGAGTTACAGGCCTTTGTGAGTCACCTGATCCAGGGCTGGGAACCAAGCCCGTGTCCTCTGCAAGGCAGTGCATGGTGCTCTTAACCACTGAGCTATCTCTAGTCCCAGTTTTAGCCTTTCAAGTCCTCTGTATAATCTAAATATTAAGCCTCTGTCCGTGATACGACTAGCAAAGACTTTTCTCCCATTCTACAGATCCTCTCTTCACTGGAGTCTTCCCTTGGCTGTACAGAGGTTTGTTGTTGGTTTTGTATTTTTGTTTTTTTTTTTTTAATTTCATGAAACCCCATTTGTTCAATCTTAATTTTTTTTTCCTGAGCTATCCCAGTCCTTTTCACAAAGTCTTCTTCAGATTCAGCCTGTGCCTGCCTCTTGAGGTGTCTTCCTCCAGTACTTTTTGAGTTTCTGATCTCTTATTAAGGTCTTTGACCTATTTTGAGTTGATTTCTTACAGCCAGAGACCAGACTCTGATCTCCCGCCTCTCCGTGGTCTGCTGGCACAGTTTCCTGAGGAGTCTTCCTCTCTCCAGTGTGTCTCTTCTTCAGCATCTTTGTCAAAAATACGTGATGAATATTCACCACATCCCTTTGGATTGGAATTGCTACTGTCATGGGAGCCAAGATGCAGAGAGACTAAAACTCTGCCTCAGAGCAAACAGATACAAAAGTGGATGCCAAAGACAACGTCATCTTGAGGGACTCAGAACAGGGCTAGATGGGAACAGAGGTCACCATTTAAAAGCTTTTTGTGTGACATGTCCACATGACAGAAATAGGGTAGAAAAGCAAGAGAATGAGGCACTAAGACACACACCACATTTTCAAACGCACCTAACCTAACACTGGAGTCTAAGCCACGGGAGTGGCTCTCAGCCCTGATTCCACTCTCGGTCACTTTCTAAAAGAACAGTTTGTACAGAATTGATCACTTTCTAAAATTATCAATAGCCAAGCCACCCGAGGCCTCCTAGCTTCAACGAGTGAGGCTTTCTGTTACAAGTGTCTGACCCTTTGTGCTTCCTGAGAAACCTTCTCAGGTTAGTATGACATGTATGACTAATTAAGGGTGCCAGCCAACATGAGCAGGAAGAGAGGGAGAGGAGAGAATGCTGAGAAACTGCAGGCTGGAAGAACACAAAACACCAACACCAAAATAACGGACTTAGCATCTCTTCATTACCCATACAAAGAGTACGCTTTCCGTGGGGGGCAAGGTAGGGGGGCGGAAAGACTGTGTGGTATGACAGCCTGTTATTGCTCTAAATTATACCACACAAACCAGAATCTAGAGGGCAAATTCTCCGTAAAAGCATTTTTATTTTGCTCCTACTTTGTGTAACACGAGGAAGCAATGTGTAATTAGAATCTACATAATAGAGACGGTGTGAACAAATCACTAACTTTGCAAATAAGATTTTATAGACAATGTAAGTAACGTTAGCATTTGCAGCCTTAGAAACAGATTTTGATGAAACCAAAGCCTGAAGAAGAGTTTTCCCTAAAACAAAAGATGGCCAAACCCGCCAACTAGCAAACTTACACGAGCCCACAGCACCACCTAGTGGTGACGAAGGGGAAGCAAAGGCTAGGCCTTCCTGAACCAGCTTTGGGGCTGAGCAATTTACACAAATGTTATTGTATATGTACCATTAAAAAGCACGAGAGACACGGGTCAAATATGAGGTGCTAGTGTCTTCTCGTGGTCAAGCAATATAAAATAAAACATTCGCCAAATAGCAATACCAAAAAACCAGAGTTTGAGTTAAACCAAAAACATTTGGAAACAAGCAATAAATCCCATACCCCTCATTCTGTACCCATTTTTCTAAAACCATTAGCACAGACTTCCAAAATCTCCAAGGTTGAACTCCCAAAATGATGTTATTTCTACTCCCACAATGTCAAAGAACAAAGCAACATGAAGGTGACAATATTTCTCAAGAAAGGCCATCCCCACCGCAACCCATCTAAAGCCACTCAAGGATAAGCTGCACTTCAGCCAGGTTTCACTTGGTGCCTGTTAACCCACACAGAACTTGACGGCCAACAGACATTCCTGAAATAGCTCATTATATAGAACTGATGGAAACTATCACAAAACAATGCAATCACAACCTGTGACTCCAATAATTGTTCAGATAAACTCTATTACAGAGGCTTAACAAAAGTAGCAAAAAGTCAACAGATAATATGTGGAGAATGCTATATATTAGTTCAGTTTATTTTTTCTCACATTTTTGTTTTTTGTTTTTTTTTTTTTAAGACTTGGATTCTCTGTGTAGCCTTGGCTGTCCTAGAACTCGCTCTGTAGACCAGGCTGGCCTCGAACTCACAGAGATCCACCTGCCTCTGACTCCTGAGTGCTGGGATTAAAGGTGTGTGGCACTACCACCTGGCTAGTTCCATTTATTTTGTAATAAAATATAATGCGGAGGCAGCGATGATCACAAACTGATCTTTCTGCCTCCACCTCCAAGGTGCTGAGATTAAAGGCACATGGCCCCACACCTCATGCATGTGGCCCTGGGGACAAACCAGGGATGTTGTGAGTGCCGGACAAGCTCTCTGCTAACCACATACATCTCCAGCCCTATCCCGGCTTCTTTGCACAATCAACACACTGTACAAATGAAAAGAAATCTTCAGACTGTATTTGGCCTTTCTGAAGTGGGACTGCCAATAAGGAGAAGAGCTGGGGTTTTAAACTTAAATGTGCTCGACTTCAAAGTTTCTGCGTGCAAAATGCCCTAAAGATAATCAAAGATAGGAGTGCATTGTAGTACAACATCAAAGAGCATCGAAAGAGGAAAGAGTAATATTTAAAATATAAACTAGCTGGAGCCGGGGCCCTGTTAGGAAATGAAATCCCAAGTGTGGTTCCCATTTAGGCCAAGTTCCGGAACTCGGCGATGGCGGAAGAGGTTCATCCTAACAAATGCATAAAGATTTGGGACTGCAGAGACATTTGGATTGTCACTTGTTTCTACAGCGACTTGAGGTGAATTTACACAGACTCTCTAGAGCAGTGGTTCTCAACCTTCCTAACGCTGCGACCCTTTAATACAGTTCCTCACACTGTGGTGATCCCCCCACCCCCACCCCAACCGTAAAATGATATTTGTTGCTGCCTCATAACTGTAATTATGCTACTGCTATGAATCGTAATGTAAATACACGATGGGGTCACGACCCACAGATTGAGAACCAATGCGCCAGACCCACCACCTTCAAATTCCCATATCCCATTGCTTTGTCTCCAACGCTGGCTCTCAGAGGAACGACCCTCTTCCAACTAACCACCCTGTGACCTGCTTCAGCCCTGCACCTTGAGCACGCTGCCAGCGTGCAGGGCTGTCACTGGGACAAAGACACAGAGAGGGAGCATTTGTCTACTGCTTCTCCTTACTGCGTGTCTGAGATAGCTTTAGAGGGCAATTCATAAAGGGGAAACTATCATGAATAAATTAAGAGTAGATAAGACGTGAACACAGTAATCTGACGTTATAAATAAGACTGTTCAGGTGCTGAACAGAGGAATAACGGGAGTCATTACAGTCATAAGAGCGCTCACGTCGCGTGGCGTGAGGCAGCCCTGGGGAAGGGCACCATACCTTAACATCTGAAATAAACGGGGCAGGCTTCAGAGTCACGGAGCAGTGGGTTCGGGCCAGCAGGATGGGCGGGGGAGGGAGTCTGCTCTTCTTTGTTTTTGAACTCTCCAGGTACTTCTGATAGGAATATAGGGCGTTCTGCTCCGCCTCGATCTTCTCAATTAAGGCATACGCTTCCTGTAACGAAGTGTGAAAATAGAAAATACATTTCGGGAGCTTGAGCCGCCTTTGTATCTGTAGAATTCCCTTGTGGTAAGCGCTGTCTTTCTATATGCCATTTCTTGAACCTCAGAGGCATACATAGATATACGTCAGTATGGGTTTTGTGGGATGATAAAAGACTACCAAATGAGCCTCATCCATGGAATCAGATGCATATGTCCAAATGTAACGGTCGTATATTAATAGGAGACATGTTTTACTTAAAATCCTCTGACTATCTATCATCATACTCAATTATGCTTTGAAAGTTCCTACCACAGACACCCGCGTGTATACTGGTAAACCACAAGCCTACCCTTAACACAACTCACAATGTGACTCTCAAGAAATATGAGTATTGATGCATGTGGTTTGCAAAAGGAATGTCACTAAGAGTTTATGTCATCAAGATGAAGTTAAAATAGACAAAAATGTTAATTCTGTAATTCTGAAGGTGAAGCCATCATTATTTCAAACAGTTATATACAAAGACAATAGCTAACTCTCAGATCTAAACAGTATTTAAAAATCCAGATGAACTGCATCAGCAGAGATGTGTAAATTTCCTAACAAATACTAATAACGCTAGTTAAAATAATAATAGTAATATTTGGCTCTCAATAATCACAGGCAAACCAAACATATTTGTCTTTACTTGTATAAGATATTTAAGCAAGCTAGATTGAGTATTTGGCAGTTCATTCATCCAGAAGACCCAGGCTTGTTCCCAGCACCCATGGAGTGGCTTACAATCCCCTATAATTCTACTGCCAGGGATCCGATGCCCTCTCTGGCTTCTGCGTGTACCAGGCATACACATGGGCACCTATTTATATTCAGGCAAATACTCATACACATAAAATAAAAACTCATAACTATTTTTAAAGATATTGGAACATTTTAAACATACACTACGAATTTCCAAAAACTCAATAAACTAGGAAAGAATCTTTAGCATCACTTAAATATTAAGTCTAGTTAATAGACAAAGTACTAAAATGGCAGTCTTGGTGTTCCTAATAAAACACTAAAGGAATTTCCAGTGAAGCCCAGAAAGAGACGGAAGGAGGCTACCATTCCATTGTATTCTAGAAGCTCTACCCTGGTAACAAATGCAGAAAAGAAGCTCTGGCAGGTAAGAAGGTTGAAAGTCTGTCTACCAAGTCCCAGGCACTCACATTCTGCTACAAGACGCCCATGTTGTTTCTCCTACAGGAGACATGTAGAGTTTGAAGTTTCCATTTGGAGACCTGGACTTCAAGCTCAGTAAAGAAAAGACTGGACATAGAGTTTGAGTATGCCTCCGACTGCTGCTCAAGGCTGACTGCTCCAACTAGCACCCCATAGAAGTATAGATTCTAGGACTGGAGTTTCAGACACGGTTCTTCCTAAAATAATAAAGGTTGGCCTGCATTAAAATGAAAATTAGGGCTAGAGATGGCTCAGCGGTTAAGAGTACTGACTGCTCCTCCAGAGGTCCTGAGTTCAATTCCCAGCAACCACATGGTGGCTCACAACCGTCTATAACGAGATCTGGTGCCCTCTTCTGGTCATACATGCTGTATACAAAATAAAGAAATTAAAAATTAAAAAAAAAAATGAAAATTAACTCGTCCTCCTTTTCCTGTTTTATTTGTGTGGTTGGCACCCAGCTCTGAAAGCACTAGCAGCTACTGAAATGTATCTTCAATGATGCAGCTCCCAAAAGTCTATTTTTCTGGGGCTCGGGACGTGATTCTGCACTCGCAGGTTGCAAGTCTTAGCCATAAGCAAGGCCAGCTCGGAAGGGCCTTGCTTTTCTTTCCCTCAGAACAGGGTGCCTTGCATAGTAGCCAGGATGAACCATCACTAACACACAATAGAAATCCAGAAGTGGGGCTTGAACATATAGACCATGAACAAATGCTACGGATAGCCGTGAAGGACATCCAGAGCTGTCAGCCACTTAGGTGACTTAGGTGAGAAACAACACATCACAGGCTCTCCGGCTGCCTTTCATCCTCCCACAGAAGTCAGGCCATGCCCTCTGGGACACAGCGACTTGAGGAGGCGTCATGATGTGCTGACCTCGAGCAACTTCTCTTCAGAGCTGCAATATGCTCATTTTCTTACCCAGTATCAGACTCCTCCTCCTCAGCCCCCTGACAAGGCCGGGCTAAATTTTCTGGTGTGGAACTTCGAACCCACGCCCCGTGAAAGCCTCTCTCAAAGTCGGAAAACATCCTGTGCTCGGAGGATCCGAAGGATTTCCTTTCAGGACGCCTATCACGCTGTACACGGCAGCTGCCTCTCCTACCAGACCGCTTCATGCTGTCTCTCCTAATGAGGTGCCTCTCCGTGTTGTTTTAGGGAAGACCATCTCTCTCCCTGCAAGCCCCTTCATGCTTCCTCTGCTAGGATGTTCCAGCTCTCTTACTGCTCTCCTGGCTCTCTCCGGCCTCGAAGTCTGACCACATCCCTGTGATCACAAGGCTGACTCGCCTATCAAAGCTCATTCTGAAGGGTAATTTTAAGTCAACTCCTTTCCCAAACCAGCCAACCCGCTGCAGCTGACCAACAGCCTTACTTGTTATAACAAGTAAGTCTTTTTTTGGGGGGAGGGGGGGGCTCGGTCTCTGGGCTCCTCGGCTTCTGGTTTTGACTTTCAGAACAACCTCGAGTATCTCCTGAAGGGCAAGCTTTTCCGCAGGAGTTTTTGTAACGGTCATGAACGTATCTCCCGGCTGTATCTCCCCATCTACTCCTTTACTTCCTTATGTACCTCTCCTAAACCTCTACAACCACTGACTCCCGTGCAACTCCCCCCTCCCCAGGCAGCATCACATCTCCGCTGGTTCAAGACCTGCTCAAGCATCACCTCCACTGACATCTCCATGACAACCCCATGTTCTCAGGCCTCCCTCCCTCCCTACTCATCCTCACTAACTTTATTTCAGTGGGTACCGTATCGTATGTTATCCGTGTACCCAAATGTCCACGCCTTGTTATGAATGCCGTGATGGCAGGCAGAGTGCTTTGTTTACCTCTTCGGATTCAGTCACTGTGTTCTAAATGAAAGACGAACTAAACCATGATGGTGGAGAAGGGGGTTTACTACCATACATAAACTACATGATAAAAATGTCCTCACTACCAATGTCTTGACCAACTTTAAGAAGAGATCCCTGACTCCGATTCTGTGGCCCAATTGAAAATATGTTAGCCGAAATACCAAAGTTTGTATCAAAAAGTAGTGGGGAAAAAGTCCAAAATAAAGTCCTAGATTTGGGTCAAATAAATTCCATGACAGAACTGAAGACAGACTCTAATGCTCGTTAAAAATGAAGTCCTAACTCACTAAGACAAACCTTACAGCTGCTAGTAAGATTCATTCAGGAGAAAGTGTCTGGGGATGATTGAAGACCTTCAACCATACAGAAGGAAACATCTGAAGAAAAAGGTCTCAAAAGCAGCTGTACACAATTTTGAAAGGGTGTCAATAAAGACGTGAGTGTTATCTACAACAATGCTTTGGAATACCAAGGTCTCACAAGTGCAAAATCTGGACAGCATTCCCAGTCTTAGCTCACAAACTTGGTTCCCCAGACATGTCAGATGATGAAAATAGCTAACCTCACATGCTCTCCCGATAGCCCTTGGAAATTAGAACGGCTTACCAAACCTAGAGGAAGAAATGACCCTTTTGCTGACCAAGGAAAAAGGTCAACCAGGACCCTCAATGCAAAGGGACTTCTGCAGCAGGGCTGAAAGGAAGCAACCATGCTTCTCATGGCCATTTGTGCATCCGCGGGCTGCATAAACTGAGGCCCTAAGTATTTGTGTATGAATGCAAATGTCTCTGCCTATAGTTTCCATTAGAGAAAATGAGACGTGCCTCTCTTGAGAAGCGTGCCAATGCTTATGAAGACGGGCTGACATTAAATACATTTGACACGGGCCTGACACCCACAGTGCATCAGAGCGCTAATGGAAAGATGTAATGCGGTCCTGAGGGCATGATTAAGATGTACGTAAACAAGTATCACGAAGCCGTGGGGATGGAGTGCCACATTCGCTACTGTCTCGGAGCCCTCCCTGAGGTCCATTCCGGGTCCCAGCGGGATAAGAAACACCTTGGAAGAAGATGAGAAGTAGGTTAAGTCATCTCCCAAGAACCCTGGCGAGGAATATTGCTGAGAATCAAAGACATGGTTTCAAAGATAAATCTAAGAAAAGGGATGGAAAGTGATGCGTCATCTCATGATGATAAATACAGCTGAGGCTCAGATAATAATTCTAACCAAATGCTACCGAGTGCTGAAAGTGAAGGGCAGAGTAATAGTGGTAACAATATAATAATAATGGCTAACAGTTACGGACTGTTTACTCTGTACCAAAAGCTAAGAATTTTATGTGCGCCATTTCATCAAGGCTTTCTAAGAACCTCCCTTTAATAGAGAAATATGTTACTGTCTCATTTCTGGTTTGGTTTGTTTTTGTTGTTTTTGTTTTTTTGGAGACAGGGTCTCACTATGTAGTATGTCTGGCCTGGAACTGACAATGTATACCAGGCTGGCCAGGAACTCACAAAGATCTACCTGCCTCTGCCTCTGCCTCCCGAGTGCTGGGATTAAAGTTATACACCACCACACTTCGTAGACGAATATTTTAAGACAAGAGGTTGTCACTAACACAGAACATACAGCCAATCTCTGACAGAACCAGAACTCTACTCAAAGCCTATATACCCCTAACCCCATGCCACTGTATTGAAATGCAAAGATAAGCTGGGGGGGGGGGGACTTGGGAAGGCAAACCAGATAAAGTTCACTACACTGTACCTTTAAGATAGATGAAAAATCTCTACTCTGTAACTGTGCCCAAATCCACTGTCAGTATTTGAGACCCAGGGTTTAAACCATGATCACATTGTTACACCTAGCCCGTTATGTGCCACAAGGAAGGAGAGAGATAACACCTACAGGTTCCCAAAATTT